GAATCCTCAGAAAGGTAGGGGAAATGACTCCAAGGAGTTATCCTCTGACTCGCACACATGTAACATGGCGTGTGCACCCCCATAGACATCATTTACATGCATATAGGCATGTGCACACGTATGCACACATAATTAATAATAATAATAATAAATGTATTTGGTTTTTGAGACATGGTCTCTCTAGATAACCCTGGCTGTCCTGGAACTCTACATAAACCAGGCTGGCCTCAAACTCATAGAGATCTGCCTGCCTCTGCCTCTGGAGTGCTGGGATTAGAGGCACGTACGACCATACCCACTAATTTATGTATTTATTTATTTAGAGAGTGTCACTCACTGTGTAGCTTTGGCAGGTCAGTAATTACAAATTAGATAGTCTGGCTTCAGACTCCCAGAGAGGGCTATCTGTTTTGCCTGCCTAGTCCTGGGGTTAAAGGTGTGCAGCATCAAGCCTGGCTGATAGTGACATTTTTACAGTGCCCCATCCAGAAAACTTTTGGTATATGATCTAGTCATACTCACTGGGCAGTTTGAGGGCATGAGTGGATTCTTCCAATTTTATACCCCAGAAGACTGCAAGAGGCTCCAGGAGATGGGGCCCTTTGTCGTTAGACATGGGATACTCAGCACTGTCCCTTAGAGGAGCAACTGGCTTAGATTTAGCAGCTTGCCCAGGTTCAGCTCAGCTTTGTCATACACTAGGAATGGGTCCTGCGACAGTGTCAGTTACGCCACCTGTAAATGAGATCATAGGGCCCACCTGGGGGGGGGGAGCTGGAGGTTGGTGTCAGCAAGTCTGAGGCCTTTAGAAGAGAGCTTGGTAGATGCTAAGTGTTCTTTATGTGCCAGGCACAGTCCCAGTCCCCCCATCAAACTCCCAAGTCAGCACACTTAACTGGCCTGCTCTGTCTGTCTGTCTGTCTGTGTGTCTGTCTGTCTGTGTGTCTGTCTGTCTGTCTGTCTGTGTGTCTGTCTGTCTGTGTGTCTGTCTGTCTGTCTGTCACGTTGCTGGACCAGTACTTCATATATGCTAGGCAAGCATCTCTCACTGAGCTGTAACTCTGGTGTTTGTTTTGGGTTTTTTTGTTTGCTTTGGTGGGGGTATTTCAAGACAGCATTTCCCAGTGTTCTCTGCGTTACAGCCCTGACTGTCCTGGAACTCCCTCAGGCAGGTCTTGAGCTCATGGAGATCCTCCTGCCTCTGCCTCCCAAATGCTGGGATTAAAGGTGTGCGCCACCACCACTTGGCTCCCTCCCCTGCTCTTAAGCCAGGTGTGATGTCACATGTCTGAAATCCCAGCACTGGGGGAGACTAAGGCAGGAAGATCAAGAGGTCCAAGCCTACCTAGTTCAGGTGGCGGTGTGGGGGTAGTGAGGACACATTCACTCAGACAGGTCTCACTCTGTAGCCTAGGTTGGACTGGAACTTGCTCCAGTCTTTCTGCCTTAGCCTCAGGTGCTGGGGTTGCAGGCATGAGTCACCAGCCCTGGCATCAATGTTTACTTGTATGTCACCTGTGGCTGTTCACTACAGTAGGTAGGACAGTTCCACGACAGTACTTTTTGCTTATAATGCTAGGGATGAAACCCAGGGCATTGTGTATAGTGGGCAAGCACTCTACCATTGGGTTCTAGGTCCCAGTCCCCCTAACAAATTTACCAAGGGGATATAATATTTGTTCCCATTTGGTGGATGAGGAAACTGAGGCCTACAGAGATGCAGTGACACAGCTGGTCTGTGACGATGTCAGCTAAGAGAACTGAACCTGGGT